AAGAGCGGTGTGGAATGCGCTGCCTGCCTTGTGCAGCGGAATAAACTCACTGGAGGTGCTCGCCACTGAGCTGCAAGAACAGAGAGCCACCATTGTGGAGAGTGCTGCGGAGACCCGTGCTAGACCAACATATAAACCGTCCCCTTCAGAGACCCGCCCCATTGGCTATGTAGCAGAGGAGAAATGGAGTTTTGCAGAGTCCTGGCTTTGGTGTGGCAAGAAAGGGTGAGTTTGGGGCTAAGAGGCAACAAATTGAGAGGTCTGGCATACCTAGTCACCTAGTCACGTTCCATCACCATGCAATAGTTACTTTTTTCTCCCAGCTCATAAGAATCTTTAGAGACATACTATAAGACCATATTATTCTGTTCCTCACTAAACTTCTCCCTAGATTTAGCAAATATTGCCCATTCCTGCCTGATTGAATCTTTACTATGGTGTTTGCTGTTTTAGATTCCATCTTTACTGTGATGATTGTAAAACACTTTTTTCTCATTTACCAGTCTATCTTCCCTTCCTTCTCCAATGATTTATTTTTATGTTTCTATATTCTTTATGGACTGATGGATTCTCATTTTTTTCAATGGTTTGTAATCGTTATTGTCCTCTTTTGTTTTGGTTCTCAAATAGTTTCAGAATGGGCCAGTGGGAGCCTCTTAAGTTGCCTCCTGTCCTGTCAGTTTTTTTGAACACATCCATAATGCTTATCCTAAGATGTCCTAGGTCCATCTTGTACCTTACCTAGTGTGCCTCAGCCTTGGAATCAGTTTGAGGAGTCTGTCGCTGTCACTAGCTGTGCTGATTGCTACTATGTCTTTGCTTATCAACACATTGGAGATTGTCTTATTGCCTTTTAAAAATTGTTCTAATTTTTTGTTTAACAAAAGTAATGGTGCTTTAAAAATATAACTATACAGATATCTATAAAGAAAAAGTTACCCACAGGTAAACAAGTTTGGAAGTGGTATATATCCTTCCAGACTACGGTTGACCCTTGAGCAATACTGGTTTGGAATGCTCAGGTCCACTTACATGCAGATTGTTCACACACACACACACACACACACACACAGTTGGCTTTCTAGATCCTTGGTTTCTGCATTCTGAGATTCAACTAACCACAGATTAAAGACAGTATTTTTGATCCGAGGTTGAGAATCTGCAGACCTGGAGGCTGTCATGACTGTACATTGTTCTATGCCATCTTATATAACTAACTTGAGCATCCACGGATTTTGGTATCCATGAAGGGTTCTAGAACCAATCTCCTGTGGATACTGAGGGACTATAGTTAAGTTTTGGGGAAGTCAAAAGTTATATGTAGATTTTCAACTGTGGTGGGGGTGGGGGTGGGCGCCTATAACACCCCTGTTCAAAGGTCAACTGTATTTTCTCTACATATGGAAAAAGAGACTTGTGGTGGTTTTTGGTTTTGCTTTTGACTATTATAAGAATTCTGCAAGGTTCACTTTTTTTCTTCACAACATAGTATGGTACTGTTTCTGTGTCAGACTGTAGGAATTTTCATTCCTTTTTGTTAGCCACGTGATTATGTTGATACCATGATTAACCAATGCAATGGATAGACATTCAGGTGGATTCCAGTCTCGCTGCAGTAAATACCTTCATGCACATATTGTCAGGCATTTAGAAATTTTTTTTAATTTAATTATTTTTTATTGAGGTGAAATTCACATTGCGCAAAACTAACCAATTTAAAGCGAACAATTAAGTGGCATTTAGTATATTCACAATGTTTTGCAACCACCTCTTAAATCTAGTTTCAGTTTGCACAGGGGCTTATTGCCCTCATTTTACTGATAATGAAACTGAGGTGCAGAGAAAGTGTGACCACCCAAAGACCACCCAAAGAAGTATGAGGTGGATTTAGATCCTGATATACTGACTTCCGGGGCCATGCTTTCCCCCTGCTCCATCCTGTCTTTGTGCGGCTCTCTGTCAGAAAGAGGGCTGCAGTTATTTTATACACCTAGTTACAGAGGCCACCCTCCCCTTACTGGTACCATCTCCCCTGCACACAAGGTTGTGACCTTGTGCATAGAGAATGGAGAAAGCTGCAGAGGCAGTGCATCTGACTTAGATTCATTTGTGTGTTTTCTTTTTCTTCCTGGTATAAATTGTGACCCAAGAGTTACTTTCGAGAGTTCTGTTCTTTGGCTACCTGAATGGAGTGCAGGCTGTGTTATCTAATACTCGTTACCCATCACTCTCTGGGGCCCATAGACACTGCGGCCTCTGTCAGAGATAATAAATATCTAGGCCAAAGGTTTCTAAAAAAATCTTTGCAGTTGAGCAGAATGTTCAATCAAGATGACAAGGTATTTTCAAGGAATAAATAAAGCACTGATACCTTTCTCCTCATTTCTTCCCTCTTGGTTGCACACACATGATCTGACCCCAGTGGTTAGTCTACTTGGCTGCCCAGCCTCTTCTGGGCCCTTGCTCAGGCTTTGTACTTGCTGCTACCCCACCTCTACCTCTTACTCCACCTGGGGGTACTGGCCAATCCTCAAGGCTCAGCTCAGAAATCACTCTTCATCTCCTTCCTTTCCACTCTTCCCACTTCTGTCTCATTCCATAAGTTCCCAAGTCCTGTCGATCTACTTGCCTGATTCTTCCACAGTTGCTCTCCAGCCCAGTTGCAACTTTCTGGATATGCCACCATCATCTCTGTGTGACAGCCTGCACCTGGTCTCCTGTTCCTACTTTTGCCCTGTTCACTTCCTACCTTGTGTCAGAGGGGTTATAGCATCTTAGTACCCATTCTGGGGGGGTGGGTCAGTGAGCTCTTTGAGGGCACCCCTTATTAGCAGCCCCCCATTATCAAAGACAGTGCCAGTCACAAAGAAGTCACAATACCTTGCTTGAATTACTTCTGGGACAGCCAGAGAAGTTTTGTACCTGGCTGTGTGGGCAACATTTCTGGCCCCAGCAAGCATTTTCATAGCTAGGCCTTTTTATTCACTGACTTCTGTTTCTTTAGGTGAAGTGTAAGACCAAGCATCAGTTTACATTTTTCTCTACAAACATCCCTATGTATAAACCTCAGCTGTGTCAGGGACAGGTGTGTGTGTTTGGTCAGTTCTCTTGTAGGATGTGCTTTACGGGGGAAAATGACATGTCAGGAAGGATCAAGCCTCCGTAGTCTGATTTTTTTCAGAGGCCCAAAGCCTTTTCTTACCCATGTGCCACATACCCTCTGGTGGAAGCAATGTTGATTGACATTAGCAGAGGACTGGTCTGGTCCACAGCTTCAGAGTCCTTCTTGGGGTTATTATAGGGCTGCCTTATGCCTTTTCACCTCTGCCTGGCCCCAGCCTGAATGCTTTGTAGACTTGCAAGGAGCCCACACACCTAAGGTGAGACGCCACAATTCAAAGGCACTGTCCCTACTTGAAAGAAGAAAGCCGTATCATGTTTGCTTAATCACACCTACTTTTTTGCTCAAGTGATGAAGGCAAGGGCATAAAGATGGGCATCTGCTATAAACACGGAGCAGCCCCCTTTACCAGCCCCCTCCTTGCCCTTTTCCTAGGGCAGAGCTTGGTCAAAGACCTCATTTTTGCCCCTGTGCCATCAGAAATTTGCCAGGGCATGTGGTATAGTCTTCTATGTGACTGCCAGGTGGATGGCCGACCAGGAAGAGCCAGGACCAGTGGGAAGCCACAGAACCACTGAAGGCTTCTGTGGGTGTCATGATCCCCTTGAGATGTTGAAGTTAACTGGGGTGCCCAGTCCCCAGTCCCCAAGAGTGGCAGAGGAGGGCATCGTGAAGAGGTCAGATTAGTTCTCCCAGAGTCCCTTCTAGTTCTAAATCCTGGGGAGTTCCAGTAAGGACTCTCATTTCTTTCTCAGTTACATGAACCATCTCCTTGTCCCTTGTGGGCCTAGCAGAGGCAGGCAGGAATAGAAAGGATCCCTTTTTTCTCTCCTGAAATAGCTTCAGCGTTTCCTTGGCTTATCTTAGGTTACCTGTTCCAGAAGCCTCGTGACTGTTCTGCACATTGAGACATTTCCTGTACTGTCATTAACTTTCTGGGCTGTTTGGTTCCTTCCACCAGGTCAAGAGCTCCTTGAGTAAAGCAAGGGACTGAGGCTTTACTTATCTTGCTGTCGTAGGGGGCGGGCCACAAAGGTTTGTGAATGAGCAAGCAAATTAACAGTCCCAGAGAAAGATGGTCTACAAGGGACAGTTAACACCCTCAGCAGTATCTCCCACCCCCTCCTCCCTGACCCTTGTGGTCTTCCCTCATTTGCCTGAGTGTGAATATGTCTCCGTGGTAGTCTGGAAGTTCCCAGGGACCACGGCTGGGGCTCCTCTCCATCCCCAGCCAGACCCTGGTGGGGCCTCAGTGACGGCACTGGAAAGGGGCAACTCTCTTCTCCCAGACTATTCCCTTCACTCCTTTGCCTCCTCTGCATTGAACATTTGGACTGGGGCAGGAGAAAGTAAGGGACCCCTACAGACCAAGGAGAAAGAATGCACTCGTTTATTTCCTGCAGGAAATACTGCTCAGGGAGTAGCCAGCACCTGTGCAGAGGGGCTGTGTTGGTCTTGGGGCCCCTAGCCCTGCAGTGATGGAGGCACTGTTGGCCCCACAGACAGGGCAGGTCCTGGTGGGGGCTGCTGCCCCTTCCTCAGAGCTTCTCTAGGTAGGATCCAGGGACAAAGCCACGCTGCCCATTCCGTTCCACTGTCCACCAGCCATCCTCCCCTTCCAGGATGACCTCCAGGATGTCCCCTGCAGAGATGTCCAGCTCGTCGGAATTCTTGGCAACAGAATAAAGGTTCATCAGGCTGGAGGGTCCTGATGGGAGGATCTGGTCAGGCATCCCCCCACCCCAAGTGGTAAATTCAAGCTTGTCTCCCAGGTTGGCTGGCACTGCAGGGCAAAGCCTCTTGGCTGGGGCAGCCCTTGGAAACAGTTAGGGTGTGGGGTGCCCCATGGGACTTGGCCTCCTGTTTCCCTGCCCCCTGGTTTGTCATTGTAGGCCTCCCATAAGCCTGGGTTTCCCTGCTTCAGCTCCCTGCTGTCTCTTCTCCAACCTGCTCTAGACACAATAGTGACTTTAGTAAGTCAGGGGCCATTTGTGCTAGGCATGCCCAAGCCCAAGGGCATTCTCATAACAGGCTCTCCACACATAGCCTCCTCTCTGCAGGGCAGCTCCTCTGAGCTTCCTCAGCCCTGCTAGCCCATCACAAGCACATCATCTGTCTGGGCTATCCTCCTTGCCAAGGACTGGACTTTGGGAATCAGTGCAGTCCGCCATGCGGCCTGCCCAGCCCTGAGTGGGTGCTTGGCTTCAATCCAGGTAGGTTTAGGGTTTGGCTCTGTACCCCTCACCTCAAAGCAGAGAGCAAATTGGACTCTTTGGGGGTCTTGGCACAGCTGCCCTGTGGCTGTTTGACCTATCTTCTCCCCGTGGACCACAGAAAACCAAACCTGGCATAGCTGAGGAGCTTATTCTGGCTGTGGGTTGTTCTTGGCACCCATGGCCATGGAGAACAGGGCCTTAACCCAAGGGTGCAGAGCCTGACCCTCAGCCCATTTTCTGCAGGTAGCCAAGCTCAGCTTGCCTGCATGTATGCACATGAACACGCACACACATACCCCATACATACAGGCACACACAATGCCCACATTTGCCTGGATATCGTGTGTGTCTGAACAGATTCAGAATGGGTACCAGATAGGCCCTGGTACCCATTCATTAAAATTTGCTAAGTAGATATATGCACAGAGCCTGTCCTAAGAGCTGAGTGCTTTTCTAAGGGCACACACCCCAAGCACACTCACAGTGCATGTATCTACATGTGAAAACACACTTGGGCATTCCTATGCCTTCCTGAGGAGAAGAGAGTGAGAGCCTCACCTGGGCTGTGTAGTCATAGAGCGCCCTGTAGTCCTGGGCTGGCAGGTTGGGGGGTCCTGGTGCCTCCTGCACTGCGACAGTGGTGTAGACACACTCATTCCGATTTGGGGTAGGGGTCACAGTGTCTGTGGAAGCTGAGAACAGAGTGAGGCCTGGAGCCCACCCCTTTCATAGGACACTGTTCCCTGGAGGCCCCGCCTTCGTGAACTATCCCTAGACTTGGTTTAGCCTCTATCCCCCCAACTGTTGGAGGGCTGGTCTGTGCATGTGGAAGTCCTCTCCCTCGCCCCAGGGTCACAATTGTTTCCAGGCCCCACATCACACTCAGTTACCTGCAGAAGCTGTCAAGAGTGTGGTCTTGGGACTCCCATGCAGCAGCCCAGAGAACCTGAGGACAGAGAAGAAAGCCGTTAGGTTCTGCAGGGTGGAGATGTGGCGGGAAGCCCTCAGAACTCCAGGGCTAGGGCCGCCCATAGTCTCTAGGTACACATGTGATTTATGGGGTGCCTCTCAGGCACAAGGGCTCCCAAAGGGTGGTTCAAGTGGCTTTTCCTTCCCAGCAGTGCCCTTTTAGTCTCTCACACTGTAGAACTCCTCTCAGCACTTGTCAGGTCCCTGTTTCAGCCTCTTACCATCCTCTGACCAGCAATGAGCTGCCTCTCAGAGGCTGGGCCACTCATGCCCACTGGGATCACCATCTGCATGGGCCCAGTCAGCCTGCCTCCCTGTGGCCCCACCCTGATCTGGTCAGCCCAGCCACTCCTGGGAGTTCTAGGAGGCAGTGTTGAGCTAATTCACTCCTTCCCCTGTGCCTGGATTAGATCCTGACTGAGCTGGAGTTATGAAGGTTCATTGAATAAAAGAAAAGAACCGAACAAGCAAGAGGCAGACACTGGGAGCCCCTCATAAAGCTGACAGTGCTAAGGGCTACATAAGTAGAGGTTGATAGTACTTACCTGCCTCTGGAAAGGCTGCCTGGCAGGGTCAAGTTTTGAAAGATAGCTTTAACAGACTTTAAAAGCCATCACCAGTGAATGGAGAAGGGGTGCAAATGTGCAGAGGAGGGACTGGACAGGTAGAGGAGTTTGGGGAATGGATTGGACCAATTTAGAAGGTGTGGAAAACAAGATTGTAAAAGGACTGAAGGGCCTTGAGTTCCCTGCAAGGGGCTGGGCCTGTGGGGTGGGAGGGACCATTCCTACAGATAGGAGAATCCAGTATAGCCCCAACCTTCTCCCCGCCCCCCCCCGCCCCCCAGTGTTTGTGGAGCTATGGCCTGGGAGTGGACATGCAGGCCCACCTGGCACACATGAGAAGGTCGTCTGCTAACACAGGCTGTGGAGGTATAGCACCTATGGAATACTCCTGCCCCTTGGACAGTGGCTGGGAGGAGCAGAGCTTGTTGAGGCCTTTGTGTGCCCTGCCTCACTGCCCTGTTTTCCCAGAGTTGTCTATACCTGTGACTCCAATTCCTTCCTTCGCTCACTTCCCAGACATTGCCCCCAGCCCTTCCTCATCCTAACCTGGATTCTGGCTGTTCCTTACAGCAACTTTTCCCACCCCCTCCATCTCCTTCATCTCATGGGACCTCTCTTTTTCTTTCATTTTCATGGGGTACCCCTTTCTGTCCTTTTAAATTTATTTTTCAATTACTGTTGACATACATTACTATATTAGTTTCAGGTGTACAACATAGGGATTAGACATTTACATGCCTTATGAAGTGATCACCGTGATAAGTCTAGTACCTATCTGCCACCATACATAGTTGTTATAATATTGACTATATTACCTATGCTCTAATTGACATCCTCGCAACTATTTTTATAACTGACAATTTGTACTTCTTAATCTCTTTACCTTTTTCACTGACCCTTCCAACCCCCCTTCCCATCAGGTGACCATTAATTTGTTCTCTGTATCTGTGAGTTTTTTTGTTTTGTCTGGTCATTTATTTCGTTGTTTAGCTTCCACATATAAGTGAAATCATACAGTATTTATCTTTCTCTGACTTATTTCATTTAGAATAATACTCTCTAGGTCCATCTTGCAAATGGCAAGATTTCATTCTTTTTTACAGCTGAATAATATTCCATTTATATATGTGTACCACATCTTCCTTTTCCATTCATTTATCAATGGACACAAAGGTTGCATCCATAACTTGGCTATTGTAAATAATGCTGCAATGAACATAGAAGTACGTGCATCTTTTCATATTAATGTTTTTGAGTTTCTTTGGATAAATACCCAGAAGAAGAATTCCTGGGTCATATGATAGTTCTCTTTTTAATTTTTTGAGGAACCTCCATATTGTTTTCCATGGTGGTTGTACCCATTTACAATCCTACCAATAGTGCACAAGGGTACCCTTTTTTCCATATCCTCACCAACACTTGTTTGTTGATTTATTGATAATAGCCATTTTGACAGGTGTGAGGTAATATCTCATTGTGATTTTGATTTGCAATTTCCTGAGTATCTTTTCATATGTCTGTTGACTATCTGTATATTCTCTTTGGAAAATGTTTTTTCAGGTCCTCTGCCCTTTCTAAAATTAGATTGTTTGTCTTTTCAGTGTTAAGTAGTATCAATCCTTTATATATTTTGGATATTAACCCCTTATTCAATGTATTATTAGTGAATATCTTCTCCCATTCAATAGGTTGTCTTTTCTTTTTGTTGATGTGCAAAAACGTTTTAGTTTGATGTAGTCCCACTTGTTTATTTTTGTTTTTGTTGTCATTGCCCTAGGAGACATATCCAAAAAAAAATATTGCTAAGATCAATATCAAAGAGTTTACTGCCTATGTTTTCTTCTAGTTTTAGTTTCAGGTCTTACATTTAAGTCTTTAACCCATTTTGAATTTATTTTTGTATATGGTGTTAAGAAAGTGGTCTAATTTCTTTCTTTTTTTTCCCCCAACACCATTTCTTGAACAGACCACATAGTATATTCTTGTCTCCTTTGTCATAGACTAATTGGCCATATATGAGTGGGTTTATTTCTGGGCTCTCCATTCTGTTCCATTGATCTATGTGTCTAATTTTATGCTAGTACCATGCTGTTTTGACTATTATAGTCTTATAGTATAGTTTGAAATCAAGGAGCTTGATACCTCCAACTTTGTTCTTCTTTCTCAAAATTCTTTTGGCTATTTGGGGTCTTTTGTGGTCCCATATAAATTTTAGGATTATTTTTTCTAGTTTTGTGAAAAATGCCATTGGAGTTTTGATAAGGATTGCATTGAATCTATAAATTGCTATAAATTGAGTAGCATGTACATTTTAATGGTGTTAATTCTTTTTATCCATGAGCATGGTACATCTTTCCATTTATTTGTATCTTCTTCAATGTCTTACAGTTTTTTGAATACAGATATTTTACTTCCTTGGTTAAATTTATTCCTAGGTATTTTATTCTTCTTGATAACAATTGTGTATGGGATCGTTTTCTTAATTTCTTCTGATAGTTCATTATTGGTGTACAAAATGCAACCAATTCTGAAAATTAATATTGCATCCTGCTACTTTACTGAATTTGTTTATTAATTCTGGTAGTTTTTTGGTGGAATCTTTAGGTTCCACTCTATATAGTATCATGCCATCTGCAAATGACAGTTTTACTTCTTCCTTTCCAATTTGGATGCCTTTTATTTCTTTTTCTTTTCTGATTGCTGTGGCTAGGAATTCCAATGCTATCTTCAGTGACAGTGTGAGAGTGGGCATCCTTGTCTTGTTTCTTTTCTGTCCTTTCTTGACACTGTCCCAGGTGAGATTTTCATCCAGTTGTTTAAATGACCACCTGTGCTGGGATCCAGGTTCTCACTAGGGGTGCAGGGAGGCCTGAGTCCCTCAGGATTTTGGTAACATTGTGATAGTGTGAGCGTCCTCCTCTTGCTGTCATTGCTTTCTCAAGGTTCTCAGAGGGGTGTGCTGTGCTCCCTGCTCTGAGTGGCAGTGGTTTTTATGAGCCTTTGTTTCCTGGAGGTGTCCTGTAGGGAGATTCTAGGGGCTTCTGAGGTCTTAGAAATGAGCTGTCCTCAGAGAGCTGGGAGCTTCATTGACCCCCACCTTTTGCCCACTTCCCAAAGGCAGGACCTCCTCTATACAAGGTTGGATGGAGAGAGGAGGTCATGGGGGACCTCAGGGTGGGGATTGGGCTTAGGCATCACTTGAAACCCTGGGTGTTTCTTGATGCCCAGAGACAGGGCATATGATCCCCTTCAGGACCTGGCTGCTGGAGCAGGGAGCTCCCTGAGCAGGCTAAGGCACCCCTAATGAGCAGTCACCATTGTCACCCAATGCCTAAAGCAGGAGGGTTCTTTGGTTCTGAGTCTGACCCCAACACTCATGGGCCCAGGACCTAGAGAAAGTGAGTGATTGTGCAAGTGATGCACTGAGGCGTGGCACTAAGACCCAACCACAGCTAGGCCAAAGAAGGACTCCTGAAAAGCATGGAGAATTCTCTAGGAGTACTGGCTGTAGGGCCTGATCCTATGCCCTCATCCTGCACCAGAGGGAGTGTCACCACTGCAGCCTGACAGTCCAGGGCACCAACTCAGGATAGCAGCAGGGCTCAAGAGACAAGTAATCCAGCCTAGGGCTGGATTAGGGCCACCCAGGAGTTTTGAGCATTCTCTAGTGAATAAGTGGGGTATGATAATTTGTTTAATGCCTGAATCCTCTTGGGCTGATGATGTCATGAGGCCAGGTTGAGCGTGTGTTGTCCCCAAAGAGTGCTCAGCACCCGAACATGGCACCAAGAACACAATAAGTGCTTAATAAATATATGTGGAACAGCCAGTTGCAGGAGGTGAGGCTAGACCTGCTTGCTGCCCTTCCACCCCACCCCACCTCTGTGTCCTAGTGGGGTCTCACCTTTTTATCATGCCACAGGATGGTTGTATGCCAGGACTACTGGTTGATAGGGCGACCTCCCGATCGTAGTAGTTTTGGTAGGGCACCGGAGCTGTGGAGAGCAAGCTTGTGAGGCCCAGAGTGGCTGAGGACAGGGAAAATAGGACTTATGCCACCTGATTACCCCAACTAGTCCCCATCCAGAGACCCAGACTGGGGACCTACTTTCTCATTCTGACCTTGATGCTTGGGGAGATGGCCTCTCTCACTTCCATGCAAGATCCAACTTTGGACACTGTGGACTTATAATTTAATGGGACCAAACAGCTTGGGATGGGGGCTCTGAGGAGGCCCTCCACCTCCATTTGCCCTTCTGAGTGTTACAGTGTTATCAAGCTCTCTTCATCTGCCTCAGAAGAGGGAGCAGGCCAGGAAACCAGCCAGGGGACCATATTGTTCTTCCCTAGGGTCTGGCCACATCTCCTCCACCTAGAAGGGATCTGTGGGCCACTCCAGCCTTGACTTGGCAGTTGAGGCTTAGAGAACGAGGGCCAGGCCTCCTAGGGATGGATAGGTCTGGACCCAGAGGCTGTGCCGCCTGCAGGCTGGGCCTCACCTGGGGGCTCCGTGCCCGTGCTCCTGGACTGGATGAAGCTGTCGATGTCGGATTCCACACTGCAACCTTCCAGTGTCACCCGCACCTCCTCATAGAACTAGGAGAAGGAAAGAGCAGAGGCTGAGAGGCCAGGCCTTTCCTCAATGCTCACCCTTGTCAAAGCCCTGCCCCTCTATGGGTCTGAACTCTGGCCAGGGGTTCACACCCCACCAGCCTCCTCACAGGCCTTGTATGCACAGCTCAGTGGCTGTGTTCAGGGGCTCTTGGGGTATAACTTCCTAAGGATTCAGAGCCCTGGCTGACAGTGTCTCTTGGTTCCTAAACACCTTGTATGCACAAGGTCCCATGCAAGGGACTTCACTCACTCTTGTCCTCTGCAGTAGACTCTATTTTCCCCATTTTATAAATGGGAAAATTCAGAGATGGAAAGTAACTTGCCCAATGTCACAGAGCAAGAATTTAGTGTGGCCAGGCTTTGGTTCCAGTATGGCAGGATCCAGAGCCCACTCTCCTTTCTCTGCCACAAGGAGGCCACCAGGTGGGCTCAAGTTGTTTGGTGGAACAGGGTGGGAAACCCAAAATCCTAAAGCCTCCAGGTAGAGGGGTAAGGCAAGGAACAGCAACAAGCTTTGGGGAGTCAGGGCTGCCTTAGGAGAGAGCTCATGGTTTGGGGGCTTTATTAAAGGGGTCAGAGACCGCAGTGGGGAGGTGGTGGCCCCTCTCTGTTGGGTAGGATCCACCCCAATTACCCAGCATATAGAGCTCAGTAAGGGAACCAGGACACCCCAGAGATGTCTGGGGAACAGAGGAAGGACTAAACCATAGCTCTTGCAAATGCCAGGCCTGGAGCAGAGCAGCCCAGGGTCTTCCAGCCTCTCTGCATATCTTGGAGGGGCTACGTCCAGCTTCCTTTCTGACTCTGGCATAGGGAGCATGTACTCTGAGAGCAGAGCTAAGACCCTGGAATAGGGTTAAGCAAAGAAGGAAGATGCCAGAGTAACCACAGAAGCATAGTCTTCCGGGCAGAGAGGCTGTGGCCCTGTGTGGTACTGAGCTCCCTGTCCTTGGGGCCTTGGGGACAGAAGCTGAGGCCTGAGGTATTTGTTGACAGGCTCAGATGGACCTGGGCATGCTGTTACCTAGAAGTTGCCCTCTCTTCATGTCCCTCCTCCAGCCAGCTCACTCCCTATCCCTTCCTGCCCTTGGCCCCTACCTCATCATCCTTGACGCATTGCATGGAGAGCTGGTTGCAGTGTACCCACAGGGCATTGCGGAGGATGGTCAGCCTGTCAAACTCTTGCAGCTGGAAGGCCTGGGTGTGTGGGGGTGGGGGTGAGAAATGTATAAGTTACTACAGGGCTAGGCCAGGCTGGGCCTCACTCACAGCTCAGCTGGAGCTGGCAAGCCAGACCCCTGACTGCTGAAAGCTAAGTCTAAAGGGTCTCTTTCTGGGGGTCCCCATCCCCACCTCTGCTAGCATTTGAGGCTTCTAGAAGGGAGGTTGAGCTGCCTATGGGGTTCTTGCCCTTACCCTCCTTCCAGGCCCCACCACACACTGGAAAGGCCCTGGGAGGATGTTGTGAGAGGAACATAGGACCTGGATACCTGAGCCCTGTCTCCCAGGTCCTGCTCATCAGCAAGGCCTAGGGAAGCTATGGCTTTTGTCTGAACCTCAGTTTTGACTTTAGCAAAAAAGGGATGAAGGATGCCTGCTTGAAACAAAGGGACCCAGAGCACAAAGTCAGGTGGTAAGCTCCCTGGGAGCAGGGGCCCAGCATGGGGCCTAGAGAGTCAGTGCATGAGTGAATGAATGAAGGAATGAGGCCTTTCCCCCACCCCATTGCCTCATGTTTCTCCATGAAGTGCCTGGAGTAGGGATGGATGTATTTCCCACTTTGCAGCTGGGGAAACTGAAGCCTAGGGTCACTCACCTCACAGGTAGTCCGGTGCTCCTGTTCCCATTCACCCCGCACCTTCTCTAGCTGCTCTATGTTCTGCCTGTACACCCGCTCTGGAAGCACAAGTGGACCTCAGGGAGGCTGGTGGCCTGGATACCTTCCTCCACCACCCACCACTTTGCTCCTGCAATACCCCTGACCAGAGTGCCTTCTTTCCCAGAAAGACCTGCCCTGGTTTCTGGTACCACATCTGGACACTTGTCAGGGCCATCCATTCTGGCACTACTCCTTTTGGGGTAAATCTTAGCTCCCCACTGTGCTCTGAGCTGCCCAAGGCTGAAGTAGAGACCATACACCTAAAATCAGAGTCCAGGCCTCTCATCGTTCCTGAATCCCACCCTCTTATTTTCCAGATGGGAAACAGGCTTGGGGAAGGCAGCTCTGAAGAAAGGGTGGAGGAGAGTGTAACTGTTGGGCTGGGAACCCAGCAGGTTTGACCATGACCTCTGTCCCTAGAACTCTGGAGTTCACCTGTCCCCCAGCCATGGGAGCAGCTGAGTCCGGGGAAAGGCATAGCAGAAGGGAGAGCCTTCCCAGGAGAGGGGTAGGGTGAGTTCTCTGTCCTAGAAATATGCCAGCAGAAACAAGGGATGTTGGGAGTTCTGGCATTGAGTGAAGGATAGAGGAGACAGGCCCAGGGGTGGGTGTGTGTGTGTGTGTGGTGTGTGTGTGTGTGTGTGTGTATGAGAGAGAGAGAGAGAGAGAGAGAGAGAGAGAGAGAGAGAGAGAGAGAGAGAATGAGAGAACATGAATGTTTTTACTTGCATAAGTATGGAAGTGAGAATGACAAGCTTATGAGACTGTATAGTCAGGTATGAGTGTGTATGTCCCCAGGATAGATGTCCAGGCCACCATCCAGATCTGAGGAGGCAGGCAGGCCACGTACCTGCCTCCAAGGCCGATTCTTTGCACTGCTTAGCTTTGTTCTGGCTCTGAAGAGACAAAGGGAAAGCGGTGCTGAGCCCCTGCCCCAGAGGCCACCTGGCCCCAGCTCTGGGCCCCCAGCCTCCCTGGGTGATTCTGAAGTGCCTCTGTCACACTTCTCCCTGGCCACCAAGGAGGATACTCAAGAGTCAACTGTGAGCAAGTTCCATCATTTACTCCAGCCTCACCTCACGATGGACCATAATAAAAAAGTTTCCAATTAAAAAAAAAAAAAAAGAATAAAAACAGAAACCTGCATCCTATGTAAATACACATGAAAACTAGATGTCAAGACCTAGAGGGAGGAATACAGACCAGGGACCAGGCCCTGAGGCTTCATGTGGCTGGTTCTGAACCCACTGGCCTCAGGACTTGGGCTCTGCCCTCTCAACTTGCTGTCCTCAATTCATCCCCAGGCCGCCGCCCTCTCTGGGCGTGTGCAATGGGTAAAATATGCTCTTGGGCCCTGGTGGCATAGAGTCCAGAGTAGTCAAAAGCTTGGTCTCTAGACCACCTGGGTTTGGATCCTTTCTCTGTTGCTTCTTGGCTCTGAGACCTTAGACAAGTCACTCACCATCACTGGGCCTCAGTTTCTTCTCTGTGACATAGGTTTATGAGCCCTTCTCCAAGGGTTGTGTGAGGGTTAGCATCTGCTCTCATTGCCCTGTGAGCTCGGGGCCTGGGTGGGCCACAGTGGGCCTGCTTTGAGGAATGGGTCCTTGGGTGCAGCCTGGAGATGGCAAAAGGGGTAAAGCTGACCCTGTCTGTCCATGCCCTGAGGTTCTAGGAAACCCATTTCACAGATTGGAAGATGAGGTTCAGAGAGCGGTGAGCAGCTAGCATGTCCCAGATGCACACCTTTCTTGGGGGTGTCTGCAGGACCCTTCTCCTGCCTCCCCCGCCCTGCCCCAGCACTGGGTGGCAGCACTGGGTGACAGCATATGGCCTCAGTGGCCCTACGCACCTTCTCCACCTGCTTCTGTTGGCCATTGGCACTAACGCGCTCGAAGGCCTGCTCAGCATCGTCTGCGTCCCGACACTTCTGCTCATATGTCTTCTTGGACTGGGGGTGTGGAGGAACGTGACTTGGGGGTGCGGAGGAACATGACTCCTTGAGCCTGGCCTCCCTTCTCCCTGTTGGGAGCTGTGGGTGGAGTGGGGGCCTCCTCACCAGGGACAGAGATTTGGAGGTCTCGAATGGGGAGGAAGAAGAGGGTTTTGTTCCCGGGCCTCTTCCCGCTGGGGATGGTATAGCCCTGCCCACGGCCCCAGCCTCTCCAAACGTGTGGTTGCATCAAAGGTGTGAGACCCTGGGTCTCAGTTTCCCCAGCTTCAAGTCTCTGAAAATACCATGTATCTTCATGATGCTAGCCTCTGCACATATTGTCCACTCTTGTGGAAGCTTTTTTTCTCCTCACCCTGTGTCCTAGGGGACACAGCTCAGGGGCCCCTTCTCCCACTACCCTTCAATTCCTCAGCTGACAGCATGGATCACCCTGTGGGCCACTGTCTGGGACTGACCGCCTGCCCACGGGCCTATCCATGTGGGGCTTTGGCATCCAGTGCAGCCCTGATCACCTGAGAGGCTGCTGCATGTGTTGCTAGATGAAGATCTGAACAAGCCCTGTCCCAGGGGCCCATCCCAGGTTTCCTGGGGTCCACTACCCTCGAGACCCAAGAGCCTTGCACTCACCTCCATGGCCTTCTTGTAGAGTGACAGCTTGCTTTTCTGGACACGGTCCATGACGGCCTCATACTACAGGGGACATGGGGCTCTTAGTGGGAGACTGTGGCCTCTGGATGCTCCCCTAGGCCAAGTGGATGGGATTTCCCTGGGATGAGGCACAGCATCCTCTCCTGGCTCTGAAGAGGGTGGTGACAAAAGGCACTCCCTCTCTCACGGCCTGCTCTTTCACAATTATTGCTCAGAACAGAAAGCTAGAGAAGCCCAGGGCATGGGTATGCCCATTGTGTCCTCTTATTGGCTGCAGACTTGGACTTGGTCTCTAGCTGGAGAATACCCAACCTATGTGCATGTGCACACACAGTTCTTCACTCACAGCCTCTGTACCTGTGAAGCTGTCACACACCATGTATACACTTTGGCACACACATGCACACAAAGTTCCACATGACACATGCAGAAGTGCACACTAATAGGCTCTCACACTCACTGCTCCCACCTGCACACATAGGCTTCACCTACATACTATGCACAAGTATACACAAGCACAATCCCATGATGGCCCCCATTGCATAGCCACGGGCCTATTTGCACAGGTGAACACACATACACTTAACTTAGTCATGGCCACACATGAACACATGGGCCATTGCACCCTCACCTCACCTCCCAGGCTCCTTATTCAGATAGAAAGGATGAAACTCAGCCTGGACAGAGATTGAGAATGAGCTATGAGAAGAATTGGAAATAAAAATCTCATGTTGGGGCTGGAGTCAGTTTGTGCCTGGGGTCACAGTGGGGCTTGTGCTAGGCAAGCCACCTGGTCACACATAAAACACTGAGACACATGCACATGCTCATAGGCATGCACGCATGTGTGCCCATGTTCTACACACACAGACTTGCATAGACATGCTCAGGCAAGCTTCCTTGCACACTATATCATAGCCTGCTTGTGGGGCTGCTGGCTGACCTGGGGAAGGTGTTGCTCTGTCCCAAACAACTTTTGCAGACATCGTGGCAAGTCCTTGCTCAGAGAGATCACCTGCTCCAGCACCTCAAGGCTGGGCAGGCTTCTGGGGCTGGCTCTGGGGACCTACTTTCTGCTCAGGAACCTTAATTTAGAATTCAGAAAGTCCAAGACCCTGGCTGACCAGATAGGCAGACAGCTGAGTTTCTGTGGTCAGAGCCACTAAATGGAGCTGGTGCCATGTCTGAAGACTGAGGGGCCACTGCTTCTGGGCTGGATCACCCAAAACTTGGGAAGTGGATATGTGTCCCATCCTGCAAGAGGGAAGCTGAGGCACAGAGAAGGGATGCAGCTTGACCAGGACAACCAGGAACAACCTGGCCCCAGCCATGAGCTGGCACCTTCTTCTCCTTCACAGCTCAGTTGTGTGGACTCTTCCATTTTTGATTCTTAAGATAGTTTATAATAATCTTTCTCCAAGCAAGAAGTATTTCTGTGTGCTGGCCTCTTCCTCCCTGGTCAGGGTATATCCTCATCACTAAGACCCTGACAGGCTAAGCATGTATGCCCATCTGTCCTCCCAGTGGGCCACATGCTCAGCCCATCAGAGTGTCGGCTTAGGAGGGGACCCTGGGACACAGAGGTCACCAAGCCCACTTCCCAGCCCACCACTGCAGCTTCTTTGACAAGTAGCCTCCAATCTCTGCTTGCATACCTCCCATGATAGGAACCTCACTTCTTTTCCACGTAGTCCCTCCATCTAGGGATAGCCTATGCATGGGTGAGAAGTATCTTTGGATGCTGAGGTAAGCCTGACACCCTTCTCACTCCCGGCAGGCTCTGTCCCCTAACCTCAGGCAGCCCTGCAGAGTGGCTACAGTCACTGGCTCTGGCCTGCCTTTCTCCGGACAAACAGCCCATATACTTGGTCTCAGGACCAGTTTCTAGTGACTCCCCAACTGAGGTTGCTTCCTTTGGAAGTACCCCCAGGCTGTCACTGCCCTCTGCAGTCTACTTCTGTAGGATGGTCAACAAGACCCATGTCTTCCCCTCTTCCTGGCGTGAGATGGCTTAGGAGGGCTCCCAAGAGCTGAGCCCTTCCCTCACCCCCAAGCTTGGGTGCTGCTCCCCACCCTCTATTGGCTCTGTCCGGAGGATCCATCTCCCACCACCTCCATAGCAATGGAGGCCACTTCCCACTTAGGGTCTTGGTGATGGGGGTGCTCCCTAGCATTCGCTTTACCTTCTTCCTCTGTTCCTTCTGCCTCTCTCGGAATTCCTCGAGGCTGCGCAGCTCTTCACGCAGAGTCAGGGCCAACTGGATGTGGGAGCTGCCCACGTCCTCCATTTCTGGGGGCGGAGTATGGGCATCAGTCTCTTACATCAGACCTGATGGGCTTCAGCCATCCACACACTCACCCCACCCAGGCTAGTGTCTATTGCCCCAAATCCTCTTCCAGTCCTGCAGGCCTGAGCTCCTCTCTTGGCCAGAATCCATCCACCTCTGTTTATGTTCCCAGAAGTTCCTGTCACCTTGCAGCCCGGAGTGAGGGAGAGTCGGGACTTACGGTGCTTCAGGGAGTCAAAGGAGGCCCTCAGGGAGCTACAAAACAGAGAGGCTAGGGTCAGCAGGAGGGGAGGACAGCAGAACCTGGAGTCTCAGTTGGCCCCAGGGACTTACATTTTGGCAGGCGGGCCTATGTCGCACGTGCGTGCGCACGCGCGCATGCGCACACACACGCACGCGCGTGCATCCGCTGCCTGGTCCTCACCTCCTTTTGGATCTAACATCTCACGGATACCTCAGACTCTGAGTATATAAAACTGGACTCAACACCCCACAAACCTGCTCCTCCTGCAGGGCTCCCCTCTCAGCAAAGGCACCACCATCTACCTGGTTATACACAACAGAATGCAGAATGACTTTGGCTCCACCCTCTTCCTCCTCCTGCACTACCTTCTAGATGTCCTAACTGCCCACCTCTCACTGCCACCACCCTAGCCACTGCCTTGTCATCTCCATCCCTCCAGCTTTCCACCTGTTACCCATTTTCTCTGTCCCGTGCCCCACGTCACCTGGGTACCCGCTGGCTCCTTCCATATGTGTTGTTCCTTCTTGCCTCAGGGCCTTTGCACATGATAATTCCCTATGCAGCTTCTTTGCCTAGCTTCTTCCGTCCCTTCTGAACACTTGTTCCTGTTGTCACCTTGGACTGATGTTTTGATTATCTGTCACCTCACTGAACTGTAGGCCCACTGAACAGGGACAATGCCTGGTTCTCCTTATTACCCCCAGGCTTATAGGCCAGAGCAACAAACTCATTCCCGGGTTTTCCCCCTATGCCATTCAGAGGAACTGTCACCAACATCTCCCTGAAGTCTATCCTTATGTGTCTCCATTGTATGTCAAGGACAGGGACCCCAAGCAGGTCTCTCTACTCTCTGCTATCAGTCACTGGTGTGCTTGTGTAACTCATTCTGTTGCCCTTTTTGACTTGACTCTCAGGATGCTCAGCCTGGAATTCTGTGCTCAAACATAGTCTATATTTCCAGTGTAAGTATCTCCTTCTGTACTCTCCCTACCACATGCCATGTACCACCTCAGTTCCCTGCTTTGGCCTCCCTACCTGCTGCCCACCCGCTGGCCAGGAGGCTGCTGTCTCCCAGCCGACAGGAGTGGCTCCTCTCGCTTCCCTGGGGATGAGGCAGGGATGTGAGAGTATAAGAGTTTAAATCCATGCCCCTTGGGGGCCTGTTCTTGCTCCATGTAACTGCAGAGGGGTTCACAGGAAGTTGGCTCCAGCTCTGCCCACCTCAAAACCCCTTAATTTCCCAAACTCCTGCCCTGTGCAGCTTCTGGGAGCATGTGGTACCCCAGCATTCTACCTGGGGCAGGATGAGCAAGAGGGGAGGCAGTGACAGCTTTCTGGGGGAGGTGGTGTTTTAGCCACACCTTGAAGTGTGGGTAGCACTGGGCAGGGGACAAATGGGGGCAACAGCCAGAGCAAAGTTTCGAAGGGAGAGTCAAGGTAAGCTTTCTGCAGGGCTGGATGTGTGGTTTAAGGAATATCAATACGCCCCCTCCACCTACCTAATGCTGTCTTTAAAATGTATTGAAAGGGCTGATGGGGATTGAAAGTGGATCTCTCTAGTTTGGGGACAGAGTCTTATTTGTGAATTCTCTATTGCAGGTGGGAATAACCTCCTTTTACTATATGTGGCTGAGCCTCCAGGCCTGAGTGAGGTTTCTGGCTACTCTTTGTGGGAAGAGTGAATGACAGCCTGGAATGCTTCCATGTTGTGGGCACTTGAGGGGGTGTATTTGGGGTCGGCACCTCTGAGAAAGGTGGCCAAATACAGCCCCTCAAGTGCCCACAACATGGAAGCATTCCAGGCCGTCATTCACTCTTCCCACAAAGATCAGGGGTGATGTAGAAATGCTGCATCTTCAGGCAGCGGAGTCCCACTCACTGCTCTCACTGGACTATTTCTGGGGTCACTTATCTGCCAACTTTTGTCTTCTCTGTTTGCCCCCACCCTCAAACTTCTGCCTGCCCTCCAATTGGCTGAGAATAAGCCCCCTGCAGGATCTGAGAGGCTTGGTCATGGGGAGGCCGGGGGCTTGCCCAACCAGAGGATGGGCTCTGTAGGAGGAAGTGCCAGCCTCTACAATGAACGGCCAGGCCACCTTTCTCAGAGGTGCTGACCCCAAATACACCCCCTCAAGTGCCCACAACATGGAAGCATTCCAGGC